TCCAAATTTGACATTCCAATTCGAAGACTCACGGAGTAATGTGACCGTAAAGATATATGGGACACTTTTCATTTCGCGTTTTCTAGAAGGATCAGAATGAAATTGGGTCCGAAATACACATTTGTAATCAATCTAAGGCTTTATGTAAAACAAGACATATTAATCGATAAAGTCATGTTGCCTTAATAGAGATGACGCTATTTTTGTTAATTTTTGATTAACTTCGGCGTTTCGCAGCTATTAGGGGAGCGTGAAACAGCAATGGTTCTAGCCGTACAAGGCTCGTTTATTATCTTACCTTTCTAGGGAGGAAATGGGAATCCCGAATATTTGCAGAATGCACTAAAGCATATTTCGATGCATATGATGAAATAAGTCGCTGCAAACTTTCCGACAAAAACCTCTCTGCGGCGCCCGACCTTAGCCTCACTTTGACCACCGAGGGACATGGGGCTTCGAATGTCATTGTCCTCCACCCGGCTCTTTGTGAAATTAATGCCGTCTTAGGCCATGCAGCAAAAATCAAGTTTTGGCGCAAAAATGTTTTTCTGCTCTGTATATTCAATGATACCTTCAACCGACTTCTGACTATCTGATGTGCTTGGACTGGGTGTGACAGAATAAAAGAACGAACTCACTACCAAGTCCAGAAAAGGGAACACTCGGTGCCCTCGAAATAAAAAAAAAATACCTGCGGGACATACGTGGTAAGCGTTACGATGGGCCAACCCGCTCTGTTGCTCTCAGCTTAAACTAAGATCCTGGAAAAAGCAAAACCTCTTTCTCCTGCGTTTTAAAGACGTACCAAGTACGCAGCTGTTTAAGGCTCTTTTGGTCGGGAGGGACATTTTCGTGGCAACATGATCGCTTGGTCGGACCTCAGTTAATTGCCGACTCACATAACCTGGAATACCTCAGAGCAAGGTGGTCAGGTCTTGGGCCTATGGCCCTGCTGCTAGAGCCCTAATCTTAATGACTGTGAGGTCCTCAACTCTCCTCAGCCTGCTTTCGGGAAGTGGGTGACTACGACCGCTATAAGTACGAAATAGCAATTCTGGTCTCCGTGGGCAGTGCCGAAACTTCTTCTCAATTATATATTTAACCACTTTCTTTTCTCGCCTATAAGCTTGGTCTCAATGATATGTCCCTTCTATATCACGCAAAAAGTTTATGCTTACCTCATGTTCCGAACTCTGTAAATTAAAAGGAGATTCTCGACTCCAGCGAGGAGGTCAGTCGAACTATGGCGTCTCATCAGCAGAGTATTCTGGCCGAAAATCGAGAACTTAGAAAGAGGCTGGAGGAGCAACAAAGTATCTACCGTCGAAAGCTTGCTGGGTTTCAGGAAAACCAACAACGGCAGACGCAACTGGTTGATAAACTCCAAGAGAAGGTAAGACCAGTTCACTTTCTCGGTAAATCTTCCCCCTCTCACTTCTAGGTTGTGCAGTATAAGGAGAAATGTCAGGACTTGGAGTTTAAGCTTCAAATACTCGATAACGAAGCGAAGACCAGGAGGGTGAGTGAAAGACAGCCGTCGCTAGCGCACATGTTACATTGGAATATTTAGCGACAAAGACAGAGACAGCGGGATAAATAATTCTGGCTTATTTTGCATTCTTTACCAGTGACACTCCAACTCCAGGCCGCATACTCGAGGTTTGAGTCCGAGTCCATTGCTGCACACCACTCCAATGCGACATTTTATGTTGTTCACATATTTGCTGAAAGAGACCGGTTGTGTGGATCATGGCGGACTCTTAGTGCGGTGAAGACCCAGGGGCAAAATAAGGGGCTTCATACGAAGCAAGTAAGCCCTGGAAGTTACCAAAATAAATTAGCAGATTACTCACTTGTCAATGCCGGTTTACCAGACGGAAATTAATATAGGATAAATTATCTCTTCGAAAGACTATGCTTAGTTGGTGAGGGTACGTACGCTAAGATATGGAACCCGAAAAGCTTTTCCTACGACGAGGCCTGAGCATTCACCTGACAAATGAAAATCGCATTCATCTCTGGCCACTTGGACTACTGTCCTGTCGTTTAGTGTTGGCCCGTAAATTAATATCGTTCTAATGACCCTAAAATGGCAGTTGCAATGGAAGTGCTAAATACCCACAGATCGCGTTTGATCCCCGGTTGTCAGAACGGACATTCCGAGAATAGTCCAACTGATAGTGACCACCTGTTTGACACCGTAGCCGGAAGGCGCCAACTTATCAATAGACCTTAAGGTTTTTCGCCATGCATCATACGGACTTCATAAGTTAGTGTTTCTCGTACATAGATGGAAACCACTGTAGAATTCAGAGTTGGAGGAGAAGTGAAGCTGGATGCTCGTAACTACTGTGCGAGCAGTGAGAATGTCATCAATCGGTTTGTCAGAAACAAATACTGCCTATCAGAAGTCCTTATACAGAAGATGTGATAACTCATGAAATGTCAACCAAAATTTCGAAATGCGTTCTCGTTTCGAAAAGTTAAATTGAGTAGTGTTGTAAAAATAATCAAGATGCAGCATAAATCTATAATGATCCAGTTACCTCAGGGTGTCGGCTTTTGAAAGAACTTATTTTCGGCTGCTTGCAAGATCTATACTCAGCAAAAAGTGACTACTTAAGTAGTAGACAATTTTCTCATTGATTTTCGATGCCCTTGAAAATTCAATTATATTTCATGGAAAACATGCATAAAAATATTCATTCTTTTACTTATTCGGTAGAAAGACACGTCGTCTTCCAATTTCATACTCAAAAGAAGAGTATAATTCGGTTTTAAAAAAGTTTCTAATTGTGAGATTTTTTAAATGGCCGTTCATGAAACGTCATGTATCTGCATTTACGAATGTGGCTTGTAAAGTTAAAAATATTGCTCAAATGCACTGCTTAATTTTATGAACCTCATATGGTCCCCTCTTAACACCAAGGAGAAATGCATGGTTTTCCGTACACGGAAAATATACAGCTTGTAGTTATGAAACCCCGAATGCAAGTGTAACAGCAGGTCGGGTTCAAAATTATTCGGGAATAAGAAAAGTTTTTTAAAACCGAATTATACTCTTCTTTTGAGTATAAAGTTGAAAGAAGACGTGATTTTCTACCGAATAAGTAAAAGAATGAATATTTTTATGCATTTTTTCCATGAAATATAATTGAATTTTCAAGGGCATCGAAAATCAATCAGAAAATTCCCTACTACTTAAGTAGTCATTTTTTGCATAGTATAGATCTTGCATGCAGCCGGAAATAAGTTCTTTCGAAAGCCGACACCCTGAGGTAACTGGATCATTATAGATTTATGCTGCATCTTGGTTGACATTTCATGAGTTAGCACATCTACAGTAAGTAGATTATTCCTCTGAGCAAACAAGTTCATGTACAAGCATATAGGGTTTCCATGAAAACGTAAATTGGTTATACAGGAAATTCGACTGGCTCGACGCGAATGCTTTTAAAAATGAATAGTACAGAAAGCTAACATTTGCTTTCCGCGAAACGGCGTAACTAGGTTTTTTTAATAAACTCCAACGCTAATCCTTCAGTATTTTAAACGAACAGGATGTATCCTGAACTCTTATACAATTTAAAACAATTTTGGGTCTCGCGGTGTGGCCTGTTCTCCTATATGTCAATTCACGTTGTTAAAATCTTGGGGGAATTCCGGGACCTAACATGGCAGGCTAGGTTACCCAATTAACAATTCAGTTGTCGAGATCGTTCACTTTGACGACTGAAACTGACGCACAGTGACAATTCCGGATGTGTCTGTTTTGACATAGCCCACGTATGCTCACGTAAAAACGTAGGCGCTTGAGCACAGGAAACACTGATGGAACTTATTATATATTCTGTCAACTACCAAAGCATACGTAAGTGGGGTTGCAGGACCGCTAAATATATGACAAAATTCCAAACAAACCCGCAGATTTCATTATTGTTGACACGGACGGTTAGCGTGAGAACCTTGCCTACCAGAATGAGGCACGGGCGTATAGCGCAGAGGGCGTCATCGTTTAAGTTGGTCAAGAAACCAGTCTCCCGCGCTGAGACAAAATCCGGTCTACTTGGGGAACTACGAGACGAAAAGTTAGCCCAAGTTTGGAAACACGCCGACACTGTAGATTTCATGAATAAAAGTCTCCGCTGAGGGCTGGTAACGTTTTGCTACTCCGTTTAGACACTCGTAAATAACTGCACGACTGGTTTTATTAGAAATTGCTTAAAACGCTTTCACCTCCTAGAGTCCATTATAATGAGGTTAGAGAAGTCCGACATTCAGGAACTATTTAAACTTCCACACAAACATTTGCATCATCCAGTACCCACACGTTTGCAGAACGTACTTTAGGACCCCTTTAGATGCCCCAAACTCAGCCCAATGCTTCAGAAATATGCAGAAGGCACTTTGCTACCGAAATGACAAAAACTGCGGAACTATATCAAGAAACGTACGTGGTGGATTGTAAAGAAAACGTAGAGTTAGTATGTTGTTTCTAAAAAGTTATAGGACTAAGGACTTATCCAAGTCTATAATGTGTCATCATTTAAAATGAAGGATTCAGGAAAACAGGACTTAACTTGACATCTATATAAGAAATAACGTTTTGGGTCCTTCAAAGAACCACATTTACCGTAGATATGTATACAAGAAGTGATTAAATGTGCGTCCCGCCTATGTTGTTATTTTGTCTGAATGCCATCCTTATAGGCAACCTGTCCATCCAAAGACTTTTGCAGCTCTTCGAGAGATTTAGTGCCCGCGGCTACAAGATACCCACTGACTTGCAGGTGTGTGTAAGTAAAAGCATCCATTTCCTACCAAAAGGAAAAACTGCGTCCACCCCCTAGGGATGTCTTTTCGTTCTGATATTCCAGGCCGTGATTTCGGCTGCTCTGCCTTAGAGACTGGGGAGTCCTGTGCACAGCTGCCATTACTTTGCTCGCGATTTGTACACATATTATGCCTGGTGCACACACCGCCAATGCTGCGAAAAAAAATCCCCGTTTCACCATGGTCTGTGCCGCCCCCGTGCCTGTTGATTGTAAGGAAAATTGGCATAGCCCATTTTATGCCACCGTTTGGCTTTAAAATAATGTCTTCTAAAGTCATCTCACGCTCTAGTGACGCTCAACAGGCCGACCACGCCTTCTTCTGTCCAATAAAATCATCTCGTTTCCGGGGAACGGCCGAGGCAAGTGAGATGTTGCGCCACGTCATCTTCAAATAAATGCACTCCAGGGGACTGCAATCAACCAGGAGGAGTGGGGAAAATATGTTTTAGCAGACACTTTATGGAAAATGCAATTTAATATAGGATAGTACTCTAAAGCCCCTATAGTTCAGTATGATTTAAACTACAGCGACAAGAACCTAAGACGAAGAAAGATAAGTAGGCTTTTTTCCAAAGAAGCGATAAACTCCATAGCCCGGAAAGTGTTTGAGGAAAACGGCTGGTGCGCAGCAAACTGGCAATGGCTCCCTTACAATTCGATTCTGTTTATATTCGAAATTGTGTAGGAGGGAAGTGAGTCTAACACCGGGAATTGGGCTCAACTGGACAGTAATATGAGCTGATTTTATTTACTGGATGACTCTAACCTGCAAGTACGGATGGTTGGAGATCGCGTTAAATTCTGAGCAACAAAAACTACCCCATAAAAAAGGCAAGTCCTAGGAACAAATCAGGCGAAGGGAGACGGGGATAAATGCGCTAAACTTCTAACGTTTTGTATTGTTTGATCAACAATTCATAACCGAATATTATATGGCCAAAATAAAACAGAGTTCCTCTTAGCTTGCCGCAGCGGTTTTCCCCATTATCTTCCTCACAACATTCCTACTCATATATATATAATTTGCTTTTTAGGCTGTCTGCAAGAGTATAAAAGGTTTAAACACTCTAAAACTCAGTGACATGCAGGCGAGTATTAGATTAAGGAATTCCTTAGCACCGTATGGGGTAGTCGCCTTATACATATAAACAGATTTCCAATAGGTAACATATAGAAGGTTCGGATTTTTTCCAGAGTTATTTTCGGATAAACTGAAAAGCTTCTAATGTTCAGGGGTCATTTTTTCAAATAAAAAGCGTTTATTCTTGGCGGCTCTAGAGTTTTACACCAAATTAGTTAGTCCTCCTTGTAACGTTCTTGCCAACTGGCAAGGATCTGGAGATGGGTACCCTCAGCTCTACGATATAGGGTTCTAGTTTTTATAGAAGAACTGACTGACATCTCTCACGTATTGACTAGCAAATCGGGTTTTTCACGGTTGGCTCAAAGTGAATTATTTAATATCTGCTATAACACCCAAGAAATTAGGTTTTCTTCCTTGCGCGTTTGGGCACCAAAGTTCTTGAGGTTCCTGCCCAGTCAATATCGAGTCTCTTACTTGGAATGGTGGGTTTGCTGAAAAATTCGAATTCTGGACAACTAAGTTATTTAAATGCCCGAAACTTGCCTTATTATAAGCGCAGAATCCCAAACTGGAGCTCAAAATTGCAATTTTTCAGGCGCCCAATGGGAAGTGACTAATGTTTTTGTTCTGACCACTTAGGTCACTAAAAAGACCAATTATTACCCTGTCAGGTCTTGATCAAGTGTTTGCTTCGTTTGAATTGATAACAGATACCCAAGTAACACTGCAAAGTCATCGCCAATGTACACTTTGGAGGAGGTACTCAGTTTTGCATGGATTTGGGAAATTTTATGCAATGAGACTGGGTTGATTTTGAATTACCCTGTGCATAATAATTAGTTTTTTTTTCAAGGGGCACGAGTGGCCGTTTATCTGCAGAATTCTGTAATACAGTTAGTAAAATTTCAATCGCAAACCCACACCCCGTATCTTCGAAATTTCGGTCTACTCAAATGGAATTTGGAAAAAGGTTTTGATGAATTTTTCGCTTATTGAATGCAATCTTGAACCCTAAATAAACTGAGCGTAAAGCTCTACAAATGAAGTTTATCTTAATTTGTGTGATCTCATGATCGCAGTTGCAACTATCTCTCTTCTCTGTGACTATGTTTTTCAGGCGGAATGCGAATCAAACATTGCTGAGCTGGAAAGCATGACAATGCGACTTGAAGAGGAACAGCAACGGTTAGACTAATTGTAGTTTATCCTTCGCGATTTTCCTTAAGACTAGACGGTCGGCAAGACGTCTATTATTGTGGTATTTTGAAATCAACACATACAAAGACCTGTTCGGGACGCGAACGCCAATAACAAGACAGTATGGCTTGTTACACCATCGAATACTTATGGACGGACGATGCCAACCGGATAACCAAAATAACTGCAAATTCCCCTAAAAAACGCATCTTAATGCAGTATGATCTATGCTGAGGGCAATTTAAGAGAAGGTTATCTTATTCCTTCAAGATTCTGCTGTCTGGCTTGCTAGGTTCGAGGATATACCAGCTAAAAGTATCTAAGCTACTAGGATGTCAAGTCCGGCAAACGTACGCCTTCGATTATTTGTCATCGGGCCTGTACGGTCATAAAAGGGAGTGCGGAATAGCAAAAGTTGAACATCCATTAATAGTCAGTATGGGGGGAGAGGGTTGAAGGGCGTTCAGAGCTCACCGGTCAGATTCTAGTTCTGTCTAGGGGTTAAGGAAGTAGAAGGGGGATGGTGTCGGGTGATTAGCTGTCCGTGTTTTTCGGCGCTATAACGCGACGTGGCGAGTATGAACACGTATGCTGAGTTTGTCCTTACCCAGGGTAGCCTTAGCGCCTGTATAATCACTTCATGTGGGCACAAGGCTGGATTGGCTAACCGGATGGCCACTGCCCCTGCCGTCGCAAGTATTCGCTGACGCAGGAACTTGGAGTTTCTGGCCGACACTTTATAGATGACTTGGAATACTTGGTTGACGTCTACCCGGTGACGCTGTCAACCAAGTGAGCCACAATTACGCTAGAGATGAACTTTCCCCACCTTGGTTTAGCCAGGTAGGATAGTGCTCTCGCATCCGCTTGGATAGACGCTACTTCATAACATCCCGATTAGGTTTGTCATGTTGTATGAGGCTTTCTAAAATGCATAGAAACTGAGTTAGATGTATTTCGAGAGGTTTTATAAAAACCCGAGTTTCTTCGACGATTATTTAAAAGCTCACGTTAACACTCCTCGCCTCCTGTACTCCAAATACTCCAATACTTACTTTCAAAACTGACATGTCATCTCTCTTGTATGCAAGCGCAACAACCCTATCAACGGTTAACGGTATGCTGCGGGATCAGATGGACCAGGCTCAGGTGCAAAATAAGTTCCTCGCCTCAGAGAACGCAAAACTGCACGACGAGTTAGTCGAAATACAGCATTCTTGTGATCGTCGAGCAGCCCAATGGCAGGAAGATGAGGCCTCTATGAACGAACTCATCTCCAAGCAGCACGATCGGCTGATCGGCCTGTGGAAAGAGGTCTCTTCTGTGCGGAGACAGGTCTCTGAGCTGAAGGTCGGTCTTCAAGACCACGTGAATGAGGCCAAGAGCGAGATCAGCCAAGCGATGCGATCCTGTTCCCTAGCTGGCGAAAAACTCACCAATCGACTGAAGGGACAAATTGAAAGCCTGAAAGTAAGCAAGCTTGATTCTGTGCATCCGAAAGATGAATTTAGCACGTTGGGATCAAATTTTCATGGTTTGCAGGTTCGCCCCACCAAGCAGTGCCTCGCTTTCCAACGTGCGTTTGAAATAGTTAAAACTCTGTCTCCCGAGGATTGTTCCGGGACACGTGTTACTCAGGGCAGGGTGTTCTGTTATGGTTCACAACAATCCATTAACTTCCATCGCTAACGGAATTTTGTAGTGTTTCACGCCAACTGTTCTCCAGAAACTGGATTTGATGAGCCTTTTCCCGAAACTTGACCGATGCCTTAGGCCTGACCTCGGGATGTCGAACGAAGGTGACTGATTTTGTAAAGGTGACGATTTTACCAAATCTGGCTGTTTGCCTTGGGCTTATCCATATCGAATTTGAGACCCGAGTCATATCATCTGTCAAGCTTATTGTGAGGCCCTCGTACGGTCAACAAAACTCCTGACCGGAAAGGGAGTACTAGGCCTCAAGCGCCCAAACGCTATTAATTCGATCAAATAAGTAAAGCAAAAAGTGGTGGAAGAAATAGTTCAAAACATACTTCCATATGATTGTTAAGTTGAAAAACGCCTGAGTAAGCTTGTCGCGGCATCAGCGGTTGGTGCATTGACTAAGGGCTGGAATTGTATATCATCCAACCGGGATTTTACAAGTTATCACAATTTTTCGAGATTCTCCATTTATGGATGAAGTCGTAATTTCTTGGACAGTATATTTTGAATGCATTTAGTATTACGAGTGCTTATTCCTACATATTATTTTTCGGAAATAAAGGCCTGTAAGCGTCTGCTATGTCAGAATCAGCAAACCATGGCTCTCGCAGCCTGCAATGCGCTGGCAGTTCTCTGATACCTGATTCCCTACCGGTAGATTCATTTGCGCTCCCGCCGGGAAAACAGGTCGTGAGCATGGCTGCCCAGTCATCCTAGTTCTTCGGACTCGTTGTAGTGTTGCTGTTAGTTAAAGACTTGGTCATTTGTTGTCTGGACCAGATGGTGTGGAGTGGAGCGCCAATGTGCGTGCTCAGCCGCGCAAACCATCTGTGCACTCCCCCGCCTACGGTCTTCTTGATCATGTCTTGGCACCGGGCCCAGGTGGGGGGAGGAGAGAGTGCCGCAGATGCAGCTCAAGTCTACACTCACTCTCAACTGACTCACGCGCAGTTCGCCGTGCCTGCTTCGCCTTGCTGTGGAGCACACGGTGGACATCGTCGGGCACGACTGCCGAACTGTAATTCCGCGGAAAAATGGAAAAATAAAAGCCAGATTGGAACTGGCCTAAAAGTGTCTGGCAAATACTGGATCACACTTGCTAAGCACACGAATTTAGCCCAGGGCAGAGTTGGTTTGGTAGATGCCTAGGAAAAAAACTTCAAGAATGGCTCTCATTTACTTGCCTTATTCGTTTCTACAAGCATGAAGTTGGAACAGAACACGCCGATCGAATGAAGTTGGAGCAGAAGGTTCTCGATCTGACGACCGAGTTGGATGCCGCCCGTCTGCGCTTCGAGGACTCCGCCAGCGCACATGCCCGCCAGCTGAAGGACCTCAATCGACAAACGGAAAGTCTGCAAGCGGAACTCAGCGACCGGGACAAAGCCCTCACCTGTCTTCAGCAACTTCGTACGGGCCAGAGTCGCTGCGCCACAGGCCTGATCGTTGGTAAGGCTCCCCTGTCATTTACTTTGAATTGCAAGTAAGAGGCCTGTGCACTTCCAAAGGAGAAACTGAATGCTCATTGCCTTCACCTATGGAGTGCAGTCAAGTGCATTGTTCTAAAAAAGTAGGCAAACCTTTTAGGACTACTTGAATGATAATATGGACAAGACTTCGAGTCTGGTAGGATGCAACCTTAGTTTTTTAAACATCGAGTTAGAAATTACAGTAATTTTAACACTAATTTAGAATTCAGTTATGCGTTGGGATTTTAAGTGTTAGAGCACCTTTGTTATGATTTTTAGGCAAACCGTGTTCATTTGCCACGACCTTGACGAACTCTTCTTTCCCCCAGACCCAGGGCATTGAATAGCATATAGGTTCTCAAAAGTCCGACCGATTTTTATATTTGTTAATTATGTCGTCGAGGGTTTCTCTAATCAGAGTATTCAGACTAGAAGTCTCCAACTTTCCAAAAGTCAAACAACACATCCAAAAAGGTCCCAACGCGGAGCCTCTACGCGATTAGTCTTGTAAAAAAGGGTCTTCCATCGATTTGCCTTCTTCCTATCTTAGTGAGCATAATCTGAACAAACTGCCCTTGCCTTGCACCAGCAGAACTGTGCTCAACCAGTTAAGACACAAATTCATGCCTTACCGTCTACGATCCGAAACGTGACGTTAGGTAGTGGGAACATTTGCTGATCTAGTAAGCTGACAAAACTGAATACAGAAATTACGTTTTGCCTTGGAATTCCAGTCCAGAACTGGGGGCTGGTCTGTACTCTGACTCAGTGGTCAATTGAGTCCGGCTCTAAGCCACAGATCTTCTCAGCCAAGATTGGAGTATCGCTGGTTGACGAAAGCAAATACACACGAAGTGATAGTCCCAGTCATTCTTATCCCTTTTCTATAATACCCCGCGATTGTTGATTGCCTGTTGCCATGTGACAAACTCTCAGAGCTCTTGACCGGCACCACAAAATAAGAAAAAGCTTCCATGTTGTATTCCTAATTCAGGTTCTATCACAGCTTCAGCGGCGTACTCGCAGGCTGCCCCAATGCTTTATTGGCTTGACACACGAACGTACTGAAGATATAAAATGGAAAAGAGCGCACAGCCACACTTCTGTTTTCATTCAAATGTATGTTAGAAGTTATCATATAAGAATGAACGCAAAGGGCACCTTTAGTCCTGAGTGATGTGATGACGGGTTAAAAGAGGCGCATAGAATGCACAGACCTGTAAAGATCCTCTAAAAGCCTTTACGTTTGCTTTGACAGGTTCACATGAGATTCGAGATCCCGCTAATCGTGCCCTGGTGGAGGAGATGCAGACACTGCATCTAGCCATTCGAGACATTGCACAGATGATTCTCAATGAGGATTCCATCTACGCGGATACAAACGCTCCACAGGTGCTCGACTGCCCCGGTGCCGGCGAATGCCGACGATCACGCTCCCGCTCACCCAGGTATGGATCCAGTCCCTCTCCGATGCGCATCTCAAGAGCCGGTGCCTATGGGCGAACCCGATCGCCACCGCCTGGTGGTCACACTGAAGGAGACGTTGGATCTTGCTACTGGGGTGATAGCACGCTCTCGGCCGTCTACGCCGCACTTAATAGGCGTTCGATGCAGGTGGGCTCCAATGCGATGATTATCTCCCCTTTTCCATCGTACTCAGGAAGTAAACTAAGCAAATTCTTTTTTCCTCCTCGTGTTCTCCTGTCAGCAAATGGCCGAGGTCGCCCCATAAATGTCATTCCATAGCTATGTCAGAGGTGTTAGCTTTTCAAAGAATTGGCGAGCTCTGTCCT